TGCGCTTCGAGATGACAGCGTCCTTCACCATCAGTATATGATAAAAGGAAAATGAGCTATTACCTACTTGTTTACACACTGACACAATTTATTAAATGTAGGCTGTTTACCATTTGCTCTTGTATTCATTTTTATATAACTTCTGATACAGCAATGGTGGAAATGACACTATGCAGGACAAAGACATGCAGATTACTGTTACAGAGAAGGGTTAAATCATTGAGGGATAATTAATGAGGTCTAGTACAGTATTTCCAGTTTTGCCATGCTGCGTTTCAGTTAAGGTCTGACATAAAAATATTGTGTTCAGATCTGTTTTAAAGCTGCTGGACCAACATTATGTGTGCTCAAACAAAAAGCCTATGAGATGTAATTTTCTTCATTATTAAACTCCCACGAGGCTGGCAGCGGACAACAACAAACCTAATTTAGAAGGTGGTTACAAACACAATAGACGACAAACACAGGTCAGATCTTAAAGAAACACTGTGTAAGTTTTAGCCTCTAGGGGCGCTAGATTTTTAACTTCCTGGTTAGTCTTCTGGAACCACTGCATTGTCACAATATTAAATAGTCTTCCTCAGTGTGATAGCAGACCACTTTGCACCAGCAGACTAAACGGTCATAGAATAACTGGTAAGACAAAGACAAATGAACAATTATGGATTAAATACTACTAGATAACCAAAAACATGTTGAATAAATTGAGTGCCATTTCTGTTTTCCTTCCTAACAACCATTTTTGGCATTACTGAATGATGGAATGACAGGATGACAGAGCTCCTCACCTTATCCCTAAGGCTGAGTCCAGGCACCTTACAGAGGAAGCTCATTTCAGCCCCTTATATCAAGGAACTAATTGTTTTGGTCTCAATCCACATCTCATAACTCGAGATGAGGCCCGAAAAGAAAAGAGAATGGCCAATCAAGTAATTTTTCACCACATCAGACTTAATCAATACCTCTATTACTGCCCCAGTCAGCCTGTCTATCACCTGGTCTATCCAAAAATAACTAATCAAAAACCCAATGGCCAAAAGTGCATTTCTTGTACCAGAAAATATTCACAATGTAGATCTGCCATACAATTTCAAAGTAATAGCTCAGCCTTCATTCTTTAAATCTTTACTGAGCACGATTTCAGGGATAAGAACCTTAAAAGCAGTGTATGCAAAAGGGGAGCACCTAAACCAGCTGAATAGTGAGTGTATTTGCATTTTTTTGTCGTTGACATAATTGACAATGCACAACTCGTTTGGTGCTTCGGAACTTTAAAGTCGTAGGGAAACGGCAGTTAAAATCGTTGCATTCCCGAATTCTCCCGACTGGTGCCCGACTTTACATGAGTGAATAAAGTGAATGTGATTGGTCGTTTATCAAGGGGGCAGGATTGTTGTTGCAAGTTTGTTTGTGGCCGGTTTGTTGGAAGCATCTTGCTAACCAGTTAGTAACTTAGGGCTAGTAGGTTCCCAATGGGAAATTACATTGGGACCAAGTAGCACTTAGTAACAACACTGTCAAGGAACGCTATGGACAGTGGAAACATGCAAGAGGAGGAGAGTTTTGTGTCGGAGGTCGTGGAATCGTCGTCTCATTCGTCATACATTTTTTATTTAGAGGAGGAAATCTGGGACAAAGATGTTGTGGAAGAGGAAGCTTGGTTTGGTGTAGAAGGCTTACAGCCGTACATGTTTGAGCCCTTGCTACGTAACGCTGCCAGTTCTGTTAGCTCTATGCCTGCTGAAGACACAGACGTCCATCCCCGTGAACAATGGGACGGAACTTAATGGTAGAGCAAATGATTCTTATTCCTTATTTCTACCAATTATATTACCTGTGACATGTGTATCACAATGCTTTGACCGAAAAAATTAGATTGACAGATGACCGTTGATGTATGATTGGCCGAATTTAGGTGTACAAGCTGACATATAACTGACTGGGCTGCATAAAATAACAGAAAAAAAAAAACAGATTTTAAGACAAGATTTTTTTTTAAATAGAAATTTTGTAACTTTTGGGACAATATAGTCTGATAAAGAGTACATGTATATACATGTTTAAACTAGAATGATTTGCCATTTAAATATTCCCTAAAACTTTAAAGACCAACCAAATCCTGATGCTGTTGGTCATTTTCATACAAAATAAAAATTATTCTTTTGTTGTGTCCGAATCTGCCAATGTGCATTACATTGAAGGAATACCCCCAGTGTATTATGAAATGACACCTGCAGTCATTACCTTTAATATGCAACATGCAACACTATCACTGCACTTATCACAAAGTCTGGACCAAAGTATTCCACTTCACTCACTATCTCCCACCTTAACTATTGTTACGTGCTCCTGTGTGGTCTCCCTGGCTGTACGATAAAACTCTTACAAATGATCCAGAACGCGGTGGCACGTCTGGTCTTCAATCAGCCCTAAAAGTCTCATGTCACCTCTCTGTTCATTGAGCTGCACTGGTTACCCCAGGCTGTCTGCTTCGAATTAAAGCCCCTGATGCTAGCCTGAAAAGTGCTTAAAGGTACAGCTCCCATCTTCTTGAACCCTCAAAAAAGGCTTATATAATAACTTGGCCACTCCGGTCATCAATAGATTGTCTTCTAGCAGTTCCTACATCATGCTTAAGACAATCCAGACTGTTTTCCTGTGTTGTTCCAAGATGGTGGAATGACCTATCAAGCGCTACAAGAACAGCATCCATGTCTATCTTCAGGAAACTCCTAAAGACCAACCCCTTCAAACAGCATCTCCTATCCTAACTCTTAAGGGCTGGTTATATCCTCGCAGCATTGTGTCGCAGTGAGCTTGTTGCAGTTTTTTTTATTTTATGCCTTTTTTATTTGTGCTATGTTATTCCATACTACAAGGCAAGAGGGACACTCAGGAACTAGCTGTGGTCTAGATACGGCCGAGACAGTGAAGAAGTGGGGTCAAGTTTGTCCGACAACGAAGGGATATGAGGGTGAAAAAGGGTGGGGATCCAGGTGGAAAAAGGGTCTCAGTGTACCTCGCTCTTCTAGCTGGTCCAAATTCGCGAGTAATTTTCGGCAATGGCGGTTATACAAACAAAACAAGCCAGTAAGGTACCAAACAGGAAATACGGATAATGTAGATTTGACCAATCAGAGGCCTCCTGTCTCCTGCACTGTCTGCGGTCACCTACAATTTTGGAGAGTTGCAGCAGAGTGTCTGCGGATGGGGCCGGGGCACTTTTGCGTTCACTGCGACACACATGCAGACGACCTGGTTTCTGAGTATTAATCAGCCTTTACCCATACCTCTGTACCCCTCTACTACTCTTTCTGCACTTCCTTCTCTCTCTTTGCTGTCACCACTGATTCTGACTTTGGATTTTCCTCTAGACAACTTATTGTCATATTGATAACTGTAACATTGTTTCTACTCTGTAAGTCACTTTGGGTAAAAGAATCTGCTAAATGGATAAACATAGCATGGATAACACACTTTAAACTTTCCTCCTGGACACCATAATTTATTCTTACAAAAAGTTATACAGCACTAAAGGTTCTGGACTCATATTTAGATGTCTTGTTTGGTAGAAGATCAAAAAAGTTCTTTCTCTTTTCTGTGTTACTTAATTTGGGTTAATGCAGCCCTACATTTGGACCATTGATAGACTAGATTATTTAGAAATCAAAATCACTTAGATTTTTAAACCAGATGTGACCGAATCAAGCTTAGAAATGATACATTATTTTGCTTTTTTTTAACATAAATGCTGGATGTGCTGATAGATTTAGCTATATATTAAATATAGTTGCTTAATTTAAAAAAATTATGTATGGTGTAGATGATTTTCTATTTGGGTGTTTCACCCCCTCTTCAAAAGGTTTCCTGGTGCTTACGTAAAAAAAAAAAGGTTGACAGATGGAAGAAAGTTTCAGTTTTTTTTTCCTTTTGAAAAATAAAAAACAAAGGATGGTTTAAAATGTTGTTGATTGAGGCTATTACCTTCAGGTGATGTGGAACACTGAGCTTTGCTCACTTGCAAAGCAAACAGCGCTCCGGTATTTATTCACTGGTTTATAGCGAGCTTCTCTTTATTTCACGTCAAACAAGCACTCCAAAGCCTCCTGGGTGAGAACAAGCCAGGCTGCACTAACGCCCAAACACGCGTGGGCGGACCCGCGTCCCCGCTTGGAGATAGAAGGGCATCGGAACAGCGTGGAGCAGAGGTGGGTGTGAACAAGTCCGATTGTGTCTCTGTCTGCGGTGCTGAACAGGAAGCTGATGGCTCCTCCGTTTGGTTTGGCTGCCGCGGCAAACAGCTCGTCTGGCAGGATGGAGAAGGTTGATACCGCTCAGTCTGTCCGATATCTGCGGGGGCGCTTTTTTTTATTTTTATTTTTTTATTTACTTTCATTTTTTGCGTAACATTGCATGAGTAACCGTCTGTTGATATTACAGTGCATCTGTTTCCCTTCTGTTGGGAAAAAGAAAAGAATCCTGTGAAGAAAATAAGCTGGAGGTGGCCCCTGATAATGTCCAGAGCTGAAACCGGGTTGACTGGGGGGGAGGCGGGGCTGGAAAGGTGAAGATTAATGACAAACATCCGTGCACCTCTGTCACGGCCTGACAAACCCCATGCTCTCACACACCTCAGCGCTGTGTGGTCACATCAGATCTATTTCCCCACCGCTTTTGTTCTCCAACTTGTAAAAAACCAATGTATCTGTGCGCCTCACACAGATAAGGCATCGCATGCCCTCGGAAATCTACTGGTGAAATACATATATGATTCCCAGATATAAGAATAAATGGAAATGTACTACCCCTGCAATTAAAGTACTATTTAAAGCAATATTTTTGAACTAAACCAAGCTGTCATGTCACATAATTCAAAACACCCCTCACTCTTGTGTTAAACAGACGCACTGGGGATCATCTGGATGCAAAGGCGCCCAAGGAAGAGATTTTGGATCTGGAAATAAAAGGAATCAAAAGCGATAAAATAACAAATCTCTTACCAGAAATATTGTCTAAATAATGTGAGGTGTTCATGGCGCGCTCCTGGTCCCGCTTTGCTCCGTCGTGGTGCGTCGCGCTCCGGTGCCAAGACTGGAAGAAGAGTGGGGCTTTTTACAGCTCAACACGGACTCACATTAGAGCCAGCAGGGGCGGGCCAAGCGCGTTGCTATTGGTGGGGATATTAGAGGAGGTGAAAAATGAGAAATTTTTATCATACTGTATGTTACTTCCTC